AAAAAAAAAGTGAGTGTATTCTTTTTCGTTAAAAATATGGTCTTTTGTTTCTTGTCCAACACATCTTCACGATAAGATCCTGCTAAAATAAGTGCACACATGTATAGAGTGTAGAGATCCTGCGGGTGAGTTCAGCCCCAGCTAAGTAAGCGAGATATTTCTTTCTCTTTCTTGTGTATGTGTATGTGAGGGTGGGGATCGAGCGCACACATTCAAGATATTTGCCTAGGTAGATGTGTACGAACGTATGTTAGCTTATATGGGGTGTGCAATTCGAAAATGTCAACTCGTATTACTGATATAATTTACTACCTCGAGAGTAAGTAGTTAGAAAGGCAAAACTTTTATGATCATACGACTTAGAAATCCCGGTGTTAGTAACAGCAATGAAATCGTTTGCTAAGAGCAGAATGACTGAAAAATACTGAATAATTGTTTTAAACATAAATAATTTTGTTTAATTTTTTGTAAAAATTTAATTGATAAATTTTGTTGTATAACATTTAATATGTTTTAATTACTACGTTATACTATGTATGATCAATGTGGCATCGAGAATTAAGATATAAGCAATTTCAGGCGCGCTTATGGATGTCGTTCTTAATTAACAGTGTGACCATAAATCATAAACGAAATGATGATTTAATTTTCGGACACCCTGTGTGCATATAACGCAGGCGCAGGCAGCTGTCACCTTACACCCATGGAGGAGGCATGGACTGCGGCGGCCATTCTCAACTTATCTCTAGGATCTTTGTAAACATGTCGTGAAATCCGAGTATTCAAGCAATGGCGTAGATCGCGAGGTGGAAGGATCCATCGGAGTGTTCTCGAAGTAAGAATTAAAATCTCCGAAGAGTACGTTTAAGACTGCAACATTGCGTGCATAAGGTTTCCCTGGCAACCAGAACCATGGTGGCAACGTCTCTAAATGGAGCACATCTTTGTTCCATGGTAATAAAAGGACTTCAGGACGTGCCACCATCTTTTTTACTCGCTTCCTCATCTCTTAGTCTTCTGCTTAGGGCACTCATCCTTTTGTTATTCTTCGTAGCAATGAAAATATTCATGGAGCTATAATCATTTGATATTTTTGTTTTTATTTAAAAATCATATTTTATGATTTTGTAATAAATTTATATGTATATAAATATAAACATTTTTCTAATATGTTTTGTTAATATTTAATCTTTAATTTTTTAATTAAAAAGATATATAAACAATTGTTGTTTTATAGTAATATTAGCAGAATTATATTTGTCATAATTATGAAAGAGAACTAATTAAATTTCAATTCCCTAAACTTTTTTTTGCAATATTTTTAAATTACGTTATATTTATGAAATATTTTCCTAGAGTCCTGTATTAGTTGATTGAGCAATTAAAAATCGTTCAATACAATATGCAATAAATAAACAAATTTTAATATATTTACTATTACGTGACATTTTGAAACTGTTGAAGGCTTCGAGCTCAAGACTTGCCAGACAAGAACCACAGTAACGTGAAACATAATACAAGTTGCACCAGCCAGTCCTAAGCTCAGCCATGCGAAGCAGCCAGCGACTAAGGAACGCGACGTACGAATCAGATTACATCTTACGTTGACTGCTTATCTTTATTCTTCACTTTACTTCGCTTCAATTCACTTCATTTCGCTTCAGTGACAACCCTTCGATCGGCATCTTATAACCGCTCCGCGATATATGTACATTCATACTTGAAAACAGCTTTCTAAGTATTTAAATGATCACAAGATTTCACTTTTATAGAGAAATTTAATTCAGTTACCGAGCTTAACCATTTGTGATATCAAAGTCAATAAGATTTCAAAACCAATGGACGAAAAAAGTAGGTTTATAAATTTGTTATTTAATTTTGTTTTTGCAACATTGTAGTGCAATAAGGATAAAAGTTATAAAACACTTTCATTTTAGGAATAATTTACAAAAAATTTTATTCCTTACCATACAAGCTTATTTTTACTGTTTCATTCAGTTTTAGAATCGTATTATTAAATATTAAATATTCTTTAAAATTAATTAATATTTACTCATTGTCAGTTCCGCTAGTTTGTAAAAAAACGGGTGCTTGAGCACCTTGTGCAACCTGTATCAGCTGAGGTTGAGCTTGTATAGGAGCAGTTTGAATTATGATCGGTTGATTACTTCCACCTTGTACTTGCATACGAATCATCTGAAGTTGTTGAGGCGTTAATTGTATCTGGAATTGTATATAAAGTTAAATAAATGAACATATAGATAAATAATAAACTTATATTAGTTATTAAAAAATACACATACTGGTATTTGTTGAATTTCTCCACTAGGTGTTACAATTTGTTGTACAATTTGTATTCCTCCAGTTTGTGTTGTAGGTGTTTGTTGAGCCTGCTGTAATTGTATAATTTGTTGACCTGATGATTGTTGCGGACTTTGCACTGTTACAGTCTGTGCTGTACTTGCTGTAGTACTTTCCTACAAACAAAATATGCAGTTAATAAGTAATAACCATTTCGTTTTATAAAATTAAAATACTTTACAAAAAGAACATGTACCTGTTCTACAGGACTACCAATGTTAATTGTTTGTATCTGCCCAGTAGAAGGTTGTACAATTTGTATCGGTTGTGTAGCATTACTATTTTGTACATTTTGATTAGCAGAAGCTTGCTGTTGTGCTAATTGAAAGTAATAATGTACCTGATCTGAGTTCATAGAAGTACGTACAGTGCTTTCAGTCTGTGCTTTACTTTGTTTCAATTCATCTCTAGGTACTATATCGATTAGAAAATCAAATTGATCATACTTAGTTATTGCCATTGCTATATCATTTCTTTGAAGAGTACGTCTTTTATTATCTTCTGTATGCACCCATGCTCTTAATGTCAATTCATGTATAAAGATTTCTGCTGCTTTAGAAAATAACATAGGAGCTTCTGCACTTATCATTTTTACATCACCATCCAATTTCATTATTTTTTTTATCCTAGCAAGTGGCAATGATTGTGTTTTTAAATCCATCTAAAAATACAATAGTAAATGAAAATAATAGTAGACATGATAATTACATTGTAACACATATAAATTGTTATTTACAGTAGTAATTTTTTTTATTTCTTCTGTGACCTTTGGCCAAAATTGAGTCAAAGCCTGTTGAGCCTCAGAATTACCAGGTGATGCAATTTGTAAATCTCCATTTGAATCGCCTTCAATTTCACTATCCTGATTTCTAAATGTAAATAAAATAATATGTAATATATTTATTTACAATGCAATATTATAATACATTTAATATACACTAAATGTGTTACTTTTTTTAAAATCACGCATCATCAAGCAAGAAATATATAACCTAATAATATACAAACAAATAAGTTTACTTACGCATTTACGAAGAATACGGACATTTTTTATAAATACCGTTAAAGTAATATAGAACAAAATATTTTAAATTATGAGTATCATCTTATTTAAATATAACACTACATAAACTACAAATGTCACAGTTTGTTGATTTTCGACAAAATTCACAACAAAATTGTTATTTGCACCACTGCATATACTGCCATGATAATATGTAATCAATTTTATTTTACTTTAAATTTTATTATGTTGACTAGAGATGGCAGTAATGTGCAGATGTATAGTTTGTACATACAGTCATAGATAAAATGTAATATAGACTTATCACTCGATGTTTTGTCTGTATTCAATTCTGAAGATTAAATTCAAAGATAAATTTATTGTATCAGTTTTGTTTAATATAAAAAAATGTGTACATTTATGTATAAATGCAGGTAATGATTGAGTAATTTTAAAGATATACTGTGGATATTCATTGTGGTATATTTTTAATGTAAATAGATGTTCAGTATGTAATTTATCTATAGCAATATTTACTATAACAGTATATGATTCTTTTTAAATAACATGTTAATAGCTTTTTAGATTAGTTTAGTAGTTTTATGTATATCTTGCTTGTAAGAATTCCAATTTTCAAGAATTTGTTATATTTTCTTTTGAAAGGTTAAGTTGAAAATAGTAAACGATGCTTCAATTTTTACTTTCATAAAATTAAATTTTACAATAAGAGTAGATGTATCAATCATACATTTGTATTAATTATATTACATATATTTAACTATAAATATATTAAAAGTAAGATAGAAAACACAACATGTACAATTTTATAATTTTCTCATTCATGCATAGCTTTGTAGCTACAGATGCTTTGAAAAACAGCATTTAATACTTCTTTAGCTGTATGGATGTCAGAATTGCTTATTCTAACAATGCTTCCAAATTCACGAATATAGTGATCTAATTCTATGTCTTTTGATAAATCTTTTGTTCCCATATATTTATTCGTTAACTGTGATAATTTTAATAAATCAGAACTAAATGCTTCATCCAAATCAAATAATTCTAAAGCTGGTGGTGGTAGTTCTTGGAAACTTGGTGGAAATATCTATAAATACATTTTTTGTATTATCATATTAATTTAAAGTATATAATTATTGAAACTTATAATTAAAAAGCATATATAATTACTGAAGCTTGTGTGGGTGGTAATGGAGCCTCAAAATGTGGTGGAATGAGGGTAAGTGGTTCATGTTTCACACCAAGAATTTCATAAGCCTTTATACAAATTGGTACTATATCTAAATTTACTGAATAAAGATGATGTTTGAATAATTTGGTATATTCATGAGGATTATCCATTATATCCATATCTTGAGTGCATACTTTTGGATTATCAGCTTGTCGCGTTATGTCTGGGATAAAATTATATTCTGAGAACTACATAAATAATATTATCATTAATAAGTATAAATAATTATTTTAAATTTAAGTAATTATTATAATATAGAAACTTACATCCATATCATCCATTTGAGATTCTTTAATTACGATATCTTTGGATTCAAAAAAGTCAAAGATCATTTGTCTCAATGAATCATTTTTTTCTTTCTCAATATATGTGTCAGTTAACATTCTAGAAGAACCTAACACAAGTAATTTTCCACCATTGACTTCATTATAATGATAAGCAGAAATAGGTCTATTTGTTGGGATTGCTATTGATCCACTGGATAATGCAACTATGGATGGTTGTGCTACATTTAATGTTGCACCATATGGATATAAAAAGTTCATATCTCTAAAAATAAGGAATTAAAAATAAATTAATATTACGTATTATATCAAATGTTCTATATTCATCTAATTTACATGTATTCGTTGTGATTTCTTAAAAATATAGATTTGTTTGACATCCCTTGAGAAATTAAGCATTCCTTTGGATGCATTGTTTGGCTATAACTCATGCGTATAACACTATCTAAAAATTATATGATGAGAAGAAATGTATAACTTTTTCTTAATTTTACTTTCATTCAAAAATTTTACAATACCATTGTTCACCATTATGCCAAACTCCTCTAATAAAAAGTTTACGTTTGTGTTAGATTTTTTTTCACCACCTTCACCGAGCATAACTAAAACGTGCCCTCCAGAATTTAAAAATGCTCTAATCGAGTTCATTTCTAATTCTGTAAATTTATTTTGTGGACCAGGCAGTACCAATATTTTGCCTGTCGATAACAATTCCTCTGTCAAAATATCATTGTTTCTAAAATATGATAACAATTAAGAAAAATGTTTGTTATGATTCAAATAAAATCGAGATTATGATATACAATAGTATATTACTCGATAAATTTCCATTTTGATTTCAACTTTCTTTGTAATATTTTAAATTCTTCATTCAGTTTTCTTTCATTTTTTGAAGCATCAAAAATAATAAGATTTAAGTTGTTGCTATCATTGTTGCCAAAGATTGAATTCATAGTGACAGTCACTTTATTATTATAAATTGAATAAGTACCAATATAAATCAATTTCAGAACATTTCTTGATAACTTACTTATATCTTTTTATCGCATTATTAAATAAAAGTTTTCTTCGAAATGTATGCTCTCGTTGTCATTGGCAACTAGAAACATATCAAATATTCAAATATAATTGGTTAATAGTACAGATCACATCAGGACTGTATTAAAAGCGCAGTTACTCTACTGTGCTTTATACATTCAATGGTAATACCATTGACTAAAGATGGAATAGATCGGACATGAAATGGGACTTTGTGTCTCAGAATCTGAAGTATCGATCAAGAAAAGAATCATTGGTTTTTTAGCACACTCTGCGCTTAAGTAACGGTGAATTGGAGAACTATACCACAGGTTCGTCTGAGAAATAAATTTTTTTATTAGGATCATTCTTCTTTAGTAGTTTACAATTATAAATATGTTACAAATTATACTATATATGTTCATATATGTATATATGATTTGTTTGCCCTAGTGAAAAATGCATGAAAAGGATCAGCTAATCACATATAGGTGGCGTTTTGGATGACAGTTTAGTTACGAGCAGTGTTCAAAATGGTTAGTGGTCCATATGTTTTTAAGTGTTTTTTAATTTAAATTTAAGAGTTAACTCAAACAAAATGACTGCAATTGTACAAGAGGATAACGAGTTAAAGAAGTTACTGGGCAACCCTGCAAAAAATGCAGGAGAGGATAACTTGATGGGTCCGCCGCAATCGGTAAATTAATAAATATGTTTATACAACGTGTATTCATTTTTGTATTCTTCATTTTTATATGTCATTTCATCTTTATATGTCATTTTAGACTAATGTCCCGCGGCCAAGTACATCACAAAATGTCAATCCACAATCAATGATAAGTCCTATGACTCCAGCTAATAGTACAAAAGAAGTGATAGAACCTTGTTTACAGTAAGTGATATAATTATTAGAATTCTAAGTCTTTTCAATATTTATAAAAATTACTTTCTAAGTAAACTTTACAGGAAATAAATAAATTTATTATTTTTCATCCTATCATTTTATCATTTTAAATTTAAAAATGAAGATATGATACACAATGAAACTTTCTTTTTTTTTCAGAAATGTAGTTTCTACAGTGAACTTAGGCATTGAATTACCACTTATGTATATAAATACTAGAACAAGGAATTCTGAATACAATCCAGCACGATTTACCGGTTTGATCATGAGGATCAGAAATCCGAGAGCTACGGCATTGATTTTTCATTCTGGGAAATTAGTATGTACAGGAGCTAGATGTGAAGAGGATTCTTATTTAGCGACAAGAAAATTTGCAAGAATAATTCAAAAGCTAGGCTTTGGAGTAAGAAGTATTATATATTATATGCTAAGTAAATGAAAAAGTTATAAATTTGTTATATTTTATTTTTCTTCTTATTTTCGTGTTATTACAGGTTAAATTTTTTAATTTTAAGATACAAAATATAGTTGCCACGTGTGATTTAAAATTTCCAATCAAATTAGAAAATTTAAATCATATACATGGACAATTTTCTAGTTATGAACCTGAGCTATATCCAGGTCTTATATATAGGATGGTATCACCAAGAGTGGTATTACTTATATTTGTAAATGGGAAAATCGTATTAACAGGTAAGAATGAATTGAAGTGTTGATTTTTTTTATTATTCATTATCTGTATTATTATTAAAATTACTTTCAATACATATAACCATATTTTAGGAGCAAAAAATCGAACTGAACTGCAGGATGCACTAAACAATATATATCCAATATTGAAAAGTTTTAGAAAGCAATAACAGTATTTTCCAAGTTTCAAGATGTTTTTTACGGTAATATATGACGTCCATTGAAGCAACTAAAATTCATCGTATATTAAATTATTTAATTGATTAATTTATATTGACGTTATTTATTAATGAATTTTATTCTAGTAATATCTTAAATTTACGACGATTAAGTAAATTTTAACAAATTTAGTGCAATAAATTAATTGCATAATTTATACAAATTTTATACAGATATAATAGTATAAATATAGATAATATGTTAGACTGACATTCTCAAATAGTTTATAAATATACATCTTTTGTACGTATAGAAATAAATGGAATGCATCATTTTAACATACATATATATTTTTTTACATTGTAAATAACAAAAATAGTACTCAGTTTTATATTGCTATGAAAAAAAAAAATATATAATTGATAAGTGTGTAACACATTTATAAAATTTTTATCTTACCAGATATAATGCAAATGTTAAGATTAAGAGAAAACTATTATAAATATATTTTATACGTAGATTAATTATTTAACATCTGTGTAATTTATTATCTTCCGAAACAAGAATAACTTTTTAACAGAATACTTATAATTCTTAAAAACATAACATATTTAGATTATTTAATATATTCTTTGTATATGCATTTGGTATATGTACATTGATTTAAAATCGTTACTTTGCATCATAATTAGTAATATGATATTAAAATATTTATATATGTAATTTTATTTAGCACCAGGTTTATGAAAGGGAATTATGAAAATTTTTTTTAGTTATAAATTCATTTCTACTTCATGTTCTTTTCTTTTTTTTTTTTACTGAATCACATATTGGACTGAGGATGTTTTTTAATATACGTTAAAATGCTGTAAAATTTCACAAACGATATATATCTTAATAGTTTCCAGCAAAATATACCCAATATTTTAATAGACGACGTTTAGACCTTTCTTCGCCGCGATCGGTAATTTTTCACCTCGGAAGAACGGATTTTCTTCCTGAAATGATATATTAAAAGTTTATTTAGATTATATTATATACATATATTTATTAGCTTTAATAATCTATAATTAAAATTACATGAAACATTCAAAACTTGAATTAAGAGATCAAACGTTTACGTTGAAAAAACAAATGTTTTATTTTTCATTTTAAATATATAATATTTACAATTTAAGGCTATTCTCTCTATTCTGAACGTCACATAAAATTCACGTAAAATTTACAATTTCCCAACGAGAGTGTACTATTCAAGATAGAGAAAACGATTAATAACGATTAATTAAAGAATCTTTTCATTGTTTTGTCATCGCTTTGATTAGATAATTCAATTTAAAGAAATTGAATATATCTCTTACAGCTTGGAATTGATCGACGATTTGGTTGAAATTGGAGTTTGAAATGTGCATGCTCGGTAGATTGCTGTTTGTGGAGTCGACCGAACAATCCAGCATGTGTTCCGTGTCACACATGCAATCTTGTGCACTCTGATAATCCCTGCTGAATGCCGCTGTATTTTCGAAATTCACGATACAATTGTTTTCGCCTAAATAAACATATAATCCGTTTAGATTTTATACTTCATACAAAACACATTATGCAAGAGAAAAGAATTCATCTATTCACTTACTCGTATATCCAACCGGACAAGGATTCGGTGGTGTGCAATACGCAGGCAAAGCATTTTCCTTCTCATCCTTGATATTCTTTATGCTTCCAGGTTTAATTTTTTGCCTGTCGTTTGTCTTGTCGTTACTGTTAATACGTTGGTGACTCCACAATGTGCTATGTTGCAAATACTCCTGATCACGTATGCTAGGATTAGGATTCAAAGTGTCCATACCATCATAATCAGCGGGTAATTCAATAGGGATTTCTTTCGGTTTGTCTTGATATTCCAAATATGAATCTACTGTATCTGCCAGTTCATTTCCCATTTGATTAATCAATTCTCGGAGCAGGGTGTCAGTTAACAGTTGCTCTTCCTAAAATTAAAGGATAATTATAGGTGTGAGATATGCAGTATAAAATAAAAAGATTTTACGAATTATAATTCATTGTTATGAAATATATCAAAGTGTTACCTTAAGTGGTGGAGGCAAGTATACAGATGCTTGAACTGTAACAACCACGGAAAGAAATAGGATCCAGTACATTTTGAGTAATAGCTAGAAGAAATAGAAAATGTGAAGGAAGTATTGCATTTAGAATTTACAAGTTACATGCTTTAAACGATCGATTAAAAATAAGTGATTTATAACGTATCATGTTTATTTTCGAAATTAATACTTTTCATTGCAGATAGATCAATCTGTGAAGTATATATTATTATAAAAAAGTTTTTAACAATTTTTTAGTATACTACTCATTTCAGTAGAACACACTATTTCTGAATCACTTTAATATAAATATTAATAAGCACTGTTATATAAGAGATATCTATATACGATCGAGTATTTTATATCAGATACATTCTGTTAAATTCAACTTAGATGATATTCAAATCTGTCACGAAATATTTTCATCCAATAATTAAATACCAATAACATATTGCACAGCAATAATTTACCTGTCAGAATCATTATACACACGTATCATTGTATAAAAAAATAATTTTTCAGTCGTCGAGTTTCATTCAGCAAAGATGCAACGTCCGAAACATTCCAAAAACAACAATCGATCATCAACCCACTC